CTCCTACATGTTAAGCTCTCCCGAACCATGTCAAGCCGCCAGCGGGCGTGCCTGTTTTCGCGACCCCTGTTTCCTTGCGGCAACGGCCCAGGACCCACACTTTTGTGGGTTGAGTCGAAGCAACTGGATTTGTGGGTAAAGGCCAAGAACCATGGCCATTTGCTATTGCCCGGGGATGCTCTTGAAGCAAATATCGAATTGGAGCCCTTGGGCCAACGTGGGGCTTGTTCCCAGTTAAAAAGCCAACCGCTTTTGGTTGGATTGCGACCCAAAAGTCGCACCCTCAAAAAACGTCCCATGTCTTCCAGGCATGGCCTGGCGGCCAAGAGCAACTGGACTTGGCTCAAGCCGTAGTCCAATCGACCCAAAGCCAAAGACCCCCTCCGCAGCCCCACATCCCCTTCAGAAAGACCAAAATTAACCAAAATGGGGGTCTGTGTTTTTGGGGGGTGGGAGAAGCAATTTTATGACCAAGCAAATCACATGCTTTCCCGTCGGCGCCAGCGCATTGATGGCAGCATGCCAATCTCGTTGCAGAGAGCGTCGGCCCATGCATCATGCTGAATAGATCAAAACCAGAAATCCAGCTTGAGGCTAGGGCAGAAACTTTCAGTAGGGCAAAAGTTTGCATCTCCAGTGCTCCAGTTGAATTGCGCAGGGTTGGATGCACATGGCATGTGTTGTGCACTGCTTACTTTCCATCAACAAACCTAACTTGAGGAATTCCCAAGGGACATTCGTCATGGGTAAGATCATGACACCCAGCGGTGAGCTGACAATACAGCAATCGCTGCAGTCAAACGCGTTCAGATAGATCTTGTCCAGCAAGGTGTCAGCCCATCTGCATATGCATCCAGAGTAAAACAGCTGCGGGCACTTCAATATTGTCCCACCCGGCCAATGAACCCCTTTCGGAGCTGATCAGTGTTTGTGGGATCCCACCAAGCACAAAGGAATTTGGAGGGATAGCTTCCTTCAAAGACTCAAGCAGTCGGAGTGGTGCGCGCTTCACAGTTGTGGCTTGGTCAAAGTATAAGTCCGAATTCCTGCAGAGACATGCAAGTGGGAAGTGAGTTTATCTTCTCGTACGTCATGCAAGGTCTCGCAGGCCACTTAATGTGAATCCTCTCTTGCTTCGGCTAGGATGGATCCAATGGGGGCTCTATCATTTAGAACGAATAAGTTTGCTTTCTTCACGGCGAGGCGTTCACATTTTGGAGCGACATTCGTGGTATTTCAGCTTCAAACATCACCTTGAACCAGGCCCAAAGGTGCCGCTCAAGAGGGGGCCTTCCTTAAAGAAAGGCCCAGCCAACGGACCGAAGAAAGTGATGAAGGAGTGCATGGGACCATTCTAGATGCACTCTTGCAATCTGCCTGCCAAGGGCAAAGTCTCCACCCTTGTAGCTTGCAAACTGATTCGCAGACGTGAGCAGCCTTCAATTCGTTCAATGGAATGCAATGCCTACCCCCGAAAGCTTCCCGCAAATTCTCAGATCCAAATTAGCTTAAACAGGGTCCAGCCCCGAAACTGTCAGAAGACATTGGTCATGCAATTCCTGAGTCTTGGAATTGTTTCAGGGTTGCAGGCGCCACACTTCGCCACACTGCCAGTGACGGCCCATCCCTTACTTGCCCTTTGAATTGTCAATACTTAGCCTGCAAGACTAACTTCAGGATTGCCAACTGCAAATGCTCGAGCTTGGGTTTTGACACCACTGGAGAACCGAGCGCGGTCCCGGGATTACTCCACTGGAAACCGAGCGAAGTTCTGAAGCTTCGGCCATGCTCAACAAAACAAACCCAAGCAAACTCAAATTCATTCTTCAATTCACTTTAATTCACTTTTCTTCCCACTTCTGGGTTCCACTTCAGGGTTCGGTTCGGTTCCATTCGGTGCCGTTCGGGTTCGTTCCGCGGGGTTCTCGCCGCACTCGCCCGAGGCCGCGGCATCCCCGGGATTGGCTCCGTGGCTCGGTTTGCTCGCGTCCGACGTGCGTTGCCCCCCAAACCGCCGGGTGGTTCAATGGGCCGCAACAGCAATTCAGCGCGTTCGCTTCTTGGGGCTGTTTGAAAGGGAAGCCAAAAGGAACCACCCATTCTTCTAGGGGTGCCTCCAATTCCATTCTTTCCAGATCCTTCTTTCTCAAAAACCAAAAAACCACCAACAATTTATTGGGGAAACAGCTGTTTTTTGAGAAGAACAATGGTTGAGAAGAATGGGGAATTAACCCCTAGAGCAATGGGTAGCATGCTTGGGTATTTCATCCGAGTGCATGACGAGAGGTCAATTTCAAATGATTTGCCATCGCATGGTATGTTTTTGACTGCAAAGCCGACATGACTGCAAAACAAAAAAGAAGTCATGGGTCACCCTTGTGCCGAACGCCTTGCATTGACTGTGTGGTAAGGCCGGCGCCGAATCCTGGAGAGAGAAGCCATACGAACAAGCTTCGGAACAGACGTGGATGAGTTTTCACTGGAGGCAAAATGCCAAATGCGAACTGCAGATCTGAAGTTTGCAGTCCGAGGAGGAGTGTTGGACATTTTGACTCGTTCACCCCATTTTCCACTTGTGGGAATACGTGTAAATAGCCGAGTAGCCCTTTGCATTTGCATGTGGCTTGTAAAGCCAACTAACCACCTGATGTGTGACGAGTTTGTGGCTTGTTGCATCTCAACTTGCATATACCCGCTATACAAGGCTCTAAGCCTCTAAGCTGGTCCGAGTGAAATAGGGGTGATCGTGCATGGTGTTGGATTGATTTGATTCTGGGGTTTTCCTTTCACCGTCGCGGAGCCCGGTTTTTTTCTGACCGGGCATTGCAATACGCGAGCTACGCGCTCACGTGTGCTTGGTTTGGCAAGTGATTTCATGCAGATATGGTGTACAGGACTTCGTAGGCGTACAGGTGCAACGAGTGATGATGCAGTTGCAGGATTTCAGCTGGATCAGTCTTTCCCTAGGGAAACGCACCAAGTGACTGTTGGCTACCAATGGAGTCGTAGGGTTAAGAAAGTTAGAAGTCGCTGGACATGGAGTGAATCTCCTTCGCCACGTCAAGGCTCCTGATGTCTGGAAGCCGACAACGCGAGAGGAAGAGCTGAGCCAGTGAAGAGAATACAAGTTTAGCTTGGTTCATTGGATGTCTCTCGTTGATGCTGAATATGATAGCGAATTCAAGGCAGCCTCAGATGATCCGCAGCGTGAGAATGCAGCATGGATTCCATGTCGGAGGCCACTTGTATTAGTACTCTTTTTTTGCTAGTCACCTACGGAATCGACCTTTGCTTTTGATCAAGCCCTATGCAAAAGTGAGAAACAGATTTGAAGCTTTTCGAATTTTGCGGAACGAGATGGAACCACAGCAACACGCTAGGATTTTTCACACTGAGAAGCTTGCCATTTGAGAGCCCCCAGTTTGGCATGGGAGAGGGAAAGGAGACCTGTGAGAGAGGGGATGTCTGGGAGGGAAAGGAGACCGCCTCAAGTCTGGGAGGAAACCTTTTTCTGCAAAATTGAGGACAGCTCCACAACAAGGTGCACAGGCGCCTTTAAACCCCAACCCTAAACCGCTTGGCCAGGAAGTGGATGTCCTGTCAAACCTGACTGGGACCCCACATTTCAGAAAGCCTTAGCCAAGCAGGACGCACCGGTCTCAAGGGATCTAAAGCATCGCCCCAACCTCCCTCATTGCACTCCTTGAGCAGCAAACCAGGGGTGGAGGGGTTGGTTCTTGCGTTTGGGTCCACCCAAAACATGCTGGTTCTCCTTTGGGTTGCCCATTCAACCAACCTGCAAAAGGGTTCCGTCAAAAGAAAGCAGCTCCATGTGCATGTCTGTGTGCGCCAGTGCATCTAGGCACGCCGGCGTTCTAGCCGAGTGCACGCTTCCCTGTGTGCAGGGAAAGCCCCCCTTCAAGCCCTGCATGTGTGGAAAAGAGGTACCAAAACAGGCCGCGCCCATGACGACTCTTTCACTTGGGGCATTTTGTTGGCATCACAGAATGTGCTTGTTAACAAACAACAAAACATCCGCAACGGTGGAGGCCACACTGCCCCTTTCTGGGAGATTACTATCCTGTTTGCAACGCTTCTGGAAGAATGTGAATCTATCCTCCTGTGGTGTCCTCCAAAGGTGATTTGGTAATGTAAGATATTCAAAACGCAGTGTCGCACCACAACTAAATGGTCCATGGCTCACATCTGATGCACGTCATGGATTGTCTTTTTTTTACGTTGACCGCAGTTGGCAAAAAAAGTGGGAGGGTTGCGCACGTCCATGAAGGCGCCCTCTTCATCACTTCATCACTAGATGTGTGTGGTTGCTTGTAAGGCACTTTCGCGGTTTATTCTACTACAGGGGAAAAGCCCACTTGAACGAACCACCCATTCTTCTCTCCATGGGAGGCAAAACTGTCCCTGGTATTACTCCCCTCCGCCCGGCGCGCTTTTTGTTCGCCCTTGCTGCAGCCCAATCTGCGCCTGCCATTGGAGCATCGTCCGGCTGTTGCCGGCTTGGGAACCAATTCAATGCCCGCCCCAAACTTCTGTCAAAGGTGCCTTAGATCATCTTCTTCAGATGATTTGAGGATCCTCTAAGGTTTCTATCCCAATCGCAACTGCTCTACAAGGATTCGGATCCCCTAGCTCAAGTTCATTTCCTGCGCTGGTCCCGCGGAACGACGGGCCTGGCGTTTCAGCACTGCGGAGAGGCGCCCGCAGCCCACCTCCAGCGCCAAGCCGCACAGGTCATGGCCTCAGAGGCTCAAAAGGAGCCCAGGCCGGGGGTGTTCAGCCTTGGCCTCAGGTTGGGTGGTTTGGCTGGTGTTGGTGGTTTTCGGTTTGGATAGTGGTGGTGTGGGTTGGTGCTTTGGAGGTCTTCCAGGGAGAAGGACGCGACCGGGTCAGGTGATGGTTAAAACGGTGGTTTGGACCAGTTGGACCTCTGCAGAAAATCCTCAAGCCACCAACTAAAACCATCTTGACAAGGGGGATGGGATTTTCAGAAAAGGTTGAAAAAGGCAAAATCCAGCTAAAAAAGGACGGTTGATCGCGCCATGAGGATGGGTTCTGGCATGCGCACCCTCTCCACGGAGATTTGGCAAACTTGCAGGGCGTCGAGCTTCAAAGACATGTCTCGCAAACAGGGTGACACGCGGCACATATTAATATTAGCTGAAGGGACAAAAGGAACGCTGTGCATCTCTGACAGGCGCCAGGCGGAGCTGCCAAGCATCTGCTTGGTGAAGTCCATCATCAAGCATGCTTGATCAAATCAAAACAACGTAACCGAGCTCAGCAAGCAAAAGATGCCGTGCCTCGGAAAATCCGAACGAGCCCCAAAAAGTGCTCCAACTCTTGATCAAACACGTATCCTCTTCCCCACACATGGACCTCCCTCTGGAAGGAAAATGGTACAACCACCCCCGGTCAGGAAACTGTCTTGAGTGAGAGGGCACCCAATCAATACTTGCAGCTGCACCTTGACTTGGAACCCCCAAGCTGTCCCCACACAAAGAACAGGGAAGCTGTTCTTGGGCTGTTCATTTGACCCAGACAAGGAGCACAGCGCAGCATCACATGCCCAGGGAAGGCCTGGCCCAT